ATTCTTCAACAGAAGAGGATCTGCTCTATTGCACTAGCCACATAAACAATATTTATAAGGTGTCGTTTCAGAGTTACATGTACCAAGTACTAGAACTTTCATAACATTAGTAAGGAAATTTAGCTGTTTAAAACACCCGACAGAAGAGCGGAAGTGGTAAACATTGATGGCATCTTGGCAAGCGCCAGTGTGTCACGCTGAACAAAATCCCGTTTCCTCGTTTGCTTTCGTGTTTAAAATACGAGCCTTGCAGTAATAAAGTAGGAGAAATATATGTCATGGGCTCCAGAAAAACAGAATTTCAATGTGGTAAGATAGAGAAGTACTTTTCTGTAGGCAAAAAAATGCAGACCCTAACAGCTTTTACTGCAATCAGGGAAATTTATTTCAGCCAAGATATGCCACTTTAAAGTGTTGGAAGGAGTTGTTGGATGTTACAGCAGTTCGAAATAATGCAATAATCAAGTATTGGTCTAAAAATTGAGGATCTGATGCGTATGGGACCAACTACTGCGGCAAGGAGGATGGGTTTTGGTAATCAACGAAATGAAGCTATTCAATTTCTGTTCATACATAAGATTTAAGATGTTCTATGTGTTGTACTAAGCTTTATCAACCTTCCCACCTCTTGGTTGCAACGAAAAAAATCTCGTCCACTCCGCAACCACATTGTCGTCAGCTACTGATGATCGGTCATTGCACACTACTACTCTTATCATAACGATCAACATAGCAAAGGGAAGACCTGGATCTTCACGGTGAAAGCGTGCAAAATCTATTGTGACCACACAAAGAATGTGTAAATACGTGAGCTCAGTATCTAAAGATATTTTAATTTGATTCAATTGAACAGAATGAAAGTGCCCACACCTACGAATGGTCATAGTCTCGAAGGCAGGTCAGCAATCAAAACAACAAGACGTGGGGCCGGATGTTATAGCTATCTACATGTTACGACACCAAATCTAATGGAATATATTTCAAGCAGGCCAGAACCAGATGCAGCCAATGCAACAAATATTTCTATGTAGGTTGCTTCAGTAATTATCAGAGAGAAGATTGCAGAGGTTGGAAAATTGCAATGGCTGTGATTTTATGTAGATTGCGTGCGAGAAGTGTGCATTGGATATGTCACAGACCATAACCATATGCACGTATATATGAACGCATATACATGTGTGAAAAAGTCTCAATTCTTAAAACTGCAGATTGTAAAGTAGAAGTTTTTCAAAGTGCAAGGTCTAACAGCCTGAAGTACTATGAATATAAAGTTTCAGATTTTGTAGTGCTTCAAAAGGCATAGTTCGTGAGGAAACAGTGATGAATGTTCACGCCGTGAGCGTTAGTACTTCTACAGACTACAAACACGGCTATACATGTTTCCTTGATAAAGACCTTCTCATCGTAGCGACAAAGTGTCTCTGTGTTTTGAGGCTTAGTGTGCAAGCACATCAGACGGATACTGCACACATTTGCTGTACTTTCAAGATGGATTGCTCACACAATCCTACCCATAATTGAAATTTAAATTAATCATAGAAAATTGAAATCGGACAGATAAACTGGTTCGAAAATTTTTTTCATAGACAAAGAATAATTAAGCATCTCTCAGATATGTGATGTAGTTAGTGATTATAAAAAGTGCGACAAGAAAGATGTGCGCAGCAAAATAAAGAATAATAGGGAATGAGTGGTATATGACTCATGGCGGTCATTTTTCTTTGAAACGAATGAATCACATGTGATTCGTGACGCCGCAATTTGGTATTAAAGACAAAAATTTCCGAAAGAAATTTCGTTGTTTAGAAATATGAGTATTATATTTGGAGGTACAAAAGCTCTCATTGAGCACTACTTGAAGCCAATTTGATCCCTTACGTTTTCGAGCAAGAAATGAGTGTTGAAGTATAGCTTTAAAATAAAGGGCTCTTACCAAGCTGTACAAGCATTCGCTCGATAGCGGTAACGTTCTGTAGTCGGGTTGGACTCAGCAACTCATGTCGGGGCTTCGCCTCGATCTGGCGCACTGCCCCAAGTAGCGCCATTCCCTTTCGTACTGATATTCGAAATTCCTCCTGAACAGCTCTTTTCAAATGAGACATGACAAACGAATAAACAAAAAAAGTTTACAATATAAAACTAGCAGCAATGCATTACCATTTCGTAACCAATTTTTGGGCGTGTGTGGCACAGTGGATGGAAGCGCCACTGCGACACACCGTGGAATCGATCCCCGCGCTCATGGGCCCACCAAGCCTTCCATCCCTCCAGGGTCGGCAAATTGGTGCCAGACTTATCTAGTAGGATAGCATCACTGGCTCGATACATCGGTAGGCCACCGCGAGTCATTGTAAAGGCCAGATTTGCATTCAATCACCTCCAACGATACTTAAGGAAGTCGAATGTATGGCGCATCCCTTAGGGATTGGTCAACGCCGACAGCTTTGTCCTTTTAACCAATTCTTGACAAGTGGTTAAAACAAGTGGAGCGAGTATCACAGTGGGTAATGTCGCGCGCTCGACACACGCAAAGGGCTGATTTGATCCTGCATGGGCCCAATCAAAACGCCATCTCTCCGAGGTCCAGACTTGCCTCGACAGCATTGGGTCAGGTGACCTCTCCAATGTGCAGCAGGTAAGGAATGCATGTGATGAGGATCTGACAACGCTCTAGCACGATTATTGCACGACTCCATTAAGAACTGAATTCACCACAATTTAGCGACTTTCGTAGAGAACAAATGTCTCCACACAAAAGCCAAAGGCGTTGCTGCAGAATGGCAGACAGTGTTCTGTACAACGATTAGCAAGGTGTAATTAAAGTTCTTTGTAGAACTACTTGGAACAAAAAACAACAGTGAGGGTGTTCGCCGTCAACTTACCCCCAAGAGATGCGCCATACAATCAGCCCCATCAAGTATCGTTGCTAGTTGTTGAATTGAAATTTAGCGGTTTTATGTGGTGGCCTATCGATACATCAAGTCGGTACTGCATTAAAGATTGGTGCTAACTAGATGACCCTGGAGAGATGGAAGGCTTGGGCAGCTTGCGGACTCTGGAAAGATGGAAGCACTGACTTCATAAATCGATAGGCTATCACAAATCATTGTATGGGCCATACATGCATTCAGTCATCTCTAACGATGGTTCATAAAGTCGAATGCATTGTATATCCCTTATATATACCTTTATTGCATCTCGTTCCGCTGTTTGAATTTGGAGAATTCTGGCTGTAGATTCGACATCGTTTGGCAGTTCGGTTTCACGAAGAACTCGCCCAAAATCGCAAAGGGATTGTGCGATCGCCGATGCTGATGACTTCATACGTTCAATGTCCTACAACAAATGTCTGAAAAAAGAAACGTGTGCCAGATAAAGCTTTCACGAGACTTAAAACAATAGGTAAAAAGGTCTTTAAAAAGGATGTTATATCTTTTCCAAGCTAAACGAAATAATTTTTTGAAAATAGCTAAATATCATCTCCCTACGGAAATTCAACAACATGCTGACGAACTTCGTTAATTCGTTTTAGAATAAATTTCTGTTAAACAAGGTTGTTGTTTAACGCTTCAGTACTCTAGAACAGTACTCTCTATTGTAACCTTTTTAATTCTGTTTTTTGCTGAAGTATTAAACGTCTAAGGAGTTCTTTTTCAAACTCAACCATTCTATGTTGAACCCATTCTAGATGGTTGTATTTGATGAGGCCACCGATGTCCATCGTGAGCTGTTCTGCCTTGAGAAACCGTCTTAATTCAACAGAAGAGTCGCACATGATCACCTGGAACGCTTTTTCGGATTTCTGTTTCTTCGAATGAACATGCCTTCAGCTCTTGAACAGCTCCTTCAGCAAACAAAGGAACCACGCTAGAGAAAAAAAAATTCTGCTCCACTAAAGGTTCACTAAAACGGTGCGTTAAGTTGAGCACAGTGTTCTATAAAAGATTGTTAAAAAGCCGATGGTATTTCAGAGCATTCAGTGGTGTTTAGCAGTTTACTAAGCAACGTTCAAGAATTTCTCAATCCCAGAGAAATACTGGCAGATAAGATCGCGAACCATGTAAGACAGCACTCACCTTGAACGAGCAGTTTTCAACTATCGCCCGATATCCGACTTCGAGCGCTCGTTGTAGCACACCTTCTGGCTTAAGAAGAAAAACAACTCGAATCGTCCCAGGAAAGAACGACTGCAAGTTAAGTTACTGAAGTTCATGACGAGATGTAATAAGTGGGCATACCAGGAACTGCAATACACCAATAGGAACACCCAAATGTATCAGTATTATTGAATTACGCGACTTCTCCATTAAAATAAGCTTTAAAATCTCATGGCCAAAATAGAATGTCGTTCAATAAGTCACATGTAAGATGAGAATAAATTTAATGAAGCTCCTTAGAAAAAAGTGAAGAAATCCCCCCACCGAACGCGCAGTGAGACGTTTGTTTGAAAATTTTCGTGGTGGCGAATTCGACGAGGGAGATAGTGAACGTCGTTCGGTTTCCGACGGCAATGAGTTGAAGACCTTCTTGGAAGGAATTCTTAACTAATTCGAAGCACTGAAGGAAAACTGGATTTTCGAAGAAGGTTGAAAATGGACGACGTAGGAATTTGAAACAAGTCACAGCACAGACACTGCAACGCTTCAAGCATCTCGACACCTCCCTTGTGAGAAGTGCTAAAGAAATCAAACCGAAACCGAAACTAACGCCAACGTATGGCCTCCACAACTTCACAGTTTTACGCAATCGGAATAAACAAACATATTTTTCAGTGGGCGAGCGTAGAACCCAAATGTCTTTGGTTCGATTAATAAAGTTTTTTCTAAGCTAAGATATCCCAATTTAAAGATAGAGGTTTGAAATCCTGTACTCGTTTGAGAACAACTTAATGTTTTGGCGTTACATCGAGAAGCCGTGGATGAAAATTTTTGTTCCCACAGCTTTTTTTCCAAAGGAGCGAGAATTCAAATCTTAACGAGTCCTCCTTTTCTTTCATGCAAAACGGCATGTTGACGGCAATCAAATCGCAAAAAATTAGAACATTTTGGCGAGCTCTTCACTAAAGAAGAACGATATAAAATGAGGAACATTTCACGCAAGCTTCAGGAGAGGAAACGATTAAAAGAACGACATGTATATATAGCTTACAGTGATTTGAAGAAAAAGCGTTCTGACGGAAGACCATTTGTCACTTCGCCGATCCACAACGACAACAAATCCTTTATTGCTGTCTTCTGGTCTTAAATAAATTTTTATATATTACGACAGCATGATTTTATCAACTGTTATCAGTGCTAATCTTGCCACTTCACTCATATGAAAGCGAAAAGCCCCAAATACACTGTTTTGATATGAAACAAACACCGCATACTGACTTGCTTACAGTGAGAAGGTAAATTAAGGCTTCTGAGTGAATTTCAATTTAAGCCAAGCGAATATTCTTAGGGAAAAATCAACGTGCAAAGTACTGACGGTAAAACTTGTAATAAGTAGATAATAAGTGTCTGGTAATCCTGGAACGACAATATCGTTCGTGAGTCAGGAAATGTTACTATGCAGAGGCCCTCGTTAGTACGTGCACCTAAAACACGATAATTTACATCTTATTCTCACGGAATCACGTAAAATGACAAAAAGTGGTCAAAAATACTACCACCCTGATATCTCTGAGAAAACGAAATGGAATTAACTTCAATGTAATTTTCTTCGTATTTTTGTTGAACAAACGCGAGGTGTTATTATTCTTTGTTCACGATTAAGCTGACGTTTCGGCGTTTCGCTGACTTTTTTCATTATACTTCCACGTGATTTCTGTGCGGTTGGTCTCTACGTGACATGCTTAGTGGAAACCTCATAGGAAGCGGCTCTGAGGAAGGCGAAATCCGCCGAAACGTCAGCTTATTCGTGAACAAAGAATAATAACACTTCGCGTTTGCTCAAAAAAAATACGAAGAATTACTTGATCAACGCCGAGGTTAATAGAAAGTCGGTCGTGGCAGTAACTTCAATGTTTTAGCAGATTTTATGGAAGTTATTGAACGCACTTGTAAGGAAAGCATAACGGGACGCGAGGATATCCGACATGTCCTTAATTCGTATCCGATCCTCGCCCACAGTCAGGAACCCATCTGTAAATTTTAATTTCTTTTTGAAAATTCACTCAAGTGGCATGACCTGAATGAATCTTAAGAGTATTCAAATTTGGTTCTGACTGGTTCATTTACGGAATCGCTTCATGGGGCTTGAAAAACCCATTTCTTGATTCTGCGACTGTGAAATTTTAAAAATCCACCTGAACAGTGACTGAAAAAGAAAACAAAATAATCAAAAAATATTTCTGAAGCCAAACAGTATTTAAAATCAGGATGAGCAATTATTGCTTTGTAAAATTCATGAGCCAATACAAGGTTAAATTTGTATAACCTCGTGGTAGCTTAATAATTTAGTAACCCAATCAATATGTTTTCCACCTCGGTTGTCATCTTTACAAAGCACTCTATCCCAAGCAAAGTATTCCCGTCCACCCGATATTCATAGTAACATTTTCTATTCAAATATTTCCAACGACTCATGAGCTAAAATTTGAAACGAGTTATTTTTTGCAGGAACTTCTACATCCCGTTTTTAGGTTTTGTGTATTACTGGATTGGTGGCAAGCATAGTCTCATATTTATCCTCCAACACTTTTTTGGTTCGAAGATCATTATAAAACGCGTACAGGCATGACTTAAACAAAAATAAAAGAAGGAAGAAAGTTCTCTGGCTTCATTCGCACACACACACGTGTGTATCACCACATCGACCACTTCGTGGTTGAAAAGTCATATTGGCCCATAAAAAAATTAGCATGCGAACATGAAAGCAGCAGCCGAAGGAAAAGTATGATTGTTACAAAACATTCCAGCATGCATCGTTAGACGCTCATAATCGTTAATGAGGAATTACTGATCACTGATTTATTGATTATTATTGATTACTGAATACAAGCACAGCTTGCTTTGATTTATCATAAGTTCAGAGTTTTATACAAGGAAATTGTGATAATTGTGAAATTGACGGGTGATTGCTGTTGGCAGAGATCGATAGAACTAGCTGAGAGACAGGCGAAACGATGGACCCGCATGGTATGGCGGTGAACGCGTTACTCCCCGGAAAGGACAATGGCGTGTTCGATCCCCCACTACAGACACCTCCGGTCCGGAGTTTTCCAAATATCTCAGCATTATTAAAATCACTGCGTTACTTTACTGTATTCTTTTCCTAAGAAATCATTAGAAAATCTCACCCCAATCCTCATCGCCGGTTTCACCGCCTTCACTGAGAACATCTTCGACTATACTAGCTGAAAATGGATGGGCAGATCTTTCCAGCACCGAATGATATCCGGAATCTTGAAGAAGCTCAGCTCGTTTTAACGCTGTCTAAACGTTTAGCAAATTAGGTGTGATATAAAGTGGTCACCTACTGGAATTGCCGCATAGTCACAAAAAGAAAGAAAAGTCCTCACACTCGAATCGGTAAAGTCGTAGTCCATGTCACAGAAGGACGCTCCAGCCTCTATGATGCCATTACTCTCATTCGAAGAACAACTGGAAGCAATAAAGTCCAAGCAATGTCAACAGGTCATGTCGTGGACGAAAAGGACACGAACGAGGTGGTTAGTCACGATAGCACTGTGTCACGCTTACTGGCTTCTAGATCAAACGCCCAATTTCGAAAAAATTATGAATTCGTTATGAGTAGTATTACTTAATGTGGGTCTCCCACATAGAGGGATCTTATTCCAATTAATCACGAGGCAACGTTGCGAGTCCTCAGGTGTCGGACAGGAGGTTCATCGCAGACCAAAAGCGTATCAGGTAAGTATCAGTATATGGAAAGCGGTTAAGAGTCATCTCCAACAAATAGGCTTCACGTCGGAGACACTGACAACCTACCCGTGAGTATATCCAGCACCAACGTTCGGAACTCACAAACTATAAGTAGGTAACAAAAAGCTAACCACAGTAAAATAAACGAGTCCCATTCCTCTGACCCCGAAAGAGCTCCATATTCGGCAGCGTTCGGTGGGACGAATACGGACAGGCTGCTAAAATCTCAGGGCTATTCAAAGCTGCCTAAATCGCGGAAGGCTAGGGTGACTATATGTACCTACAATGCACGCAAACTGTCATCTGAGAAGACTTGATCATGTAGGCAAAAAGGATAAGGCACGACATCATCGACTGGCCCAGGCGAGAAGACGCTACCCATTCAACGCCATCTATGAAACCGAAAAAGAACTGTCTCTAGGAACATGCAACAATAGAGGAATTGGCGGCGTCGGCGTTCTCGTCAACACGAGTTTGGCCATGAACATCAATTCATTGAAAGGGTTAACCACCCGGATCGGACGTTTACGATTAAAGAGATGTGAATCAATACCAGCTCTTACAATCTTTACCGTCATCAAGGCATGACGAACAAGAAGTCGAAGCGATCTATATGGACTTGGAGAAGTTCCACAGAGAAGACCACACATTCTTCAAGATTATCCTTAGAAATTTGAACGCTAATATTGGATCCAGAAAAACATCCTTAGAGCGTCACATTGGGACCCACTGATTAGAATGCAGCGAGCAGGGTGAGCGGCTGCCCGATTTTGTAATGACGACCAAGACCATTTACGGTGACTCGCAATTCCAGAAGCTCCACCTTCAACACTGAACACGGGAACCTCCCAAGATGCTGCTCATGATAACATCGGGGAAAAAGGCAACCGGCTCTCCAGCATCTTCACGTTAGAACTATGAAAGCTGGGAATTCGTAAATCACCAAGACACGTCTGTCCACAGAAACACTCGAGCTGATACGCCAGCGTGGAATCGCACGAGCTGCAGGCAACCGCCAACTCAAGCCCGAACTTGCAAAACAATGCAGACAGGTGATAAAAGGAAAACTTAGAAACAGAAGATCAACAGTTGCGGTCGAAACTTCAGATGCTAGAAAAAGCATTAGCAAAGCCCACTGAAGCTTCTCCAATTGCAAAAGCAAGATGAGTGCACTCCGACGCCCAGACGGAACAGCTCCAGCTTCCAGAAAGACAATCGAGAAAATCATCCACGATTACTACTCAGATCTCTTCAACAGGCACGTCCTCCTTCCGCCATATGAAATAAAAGAGGATGGATATGTGGTACCACAGGTTTTCCCTTCTGAAATTCTATTTCGTCAGTAAAAATTCAAACAACACCAGCTCTAGACAGGATAATGTCTGAACACCTGAAGAACCCTCTGTCAGCTCGTAAACATACTAGCTCGGCTCCTCACACGTTACCTGTCTGAAGGCAAGGTCCCTATTCAGTGGAAGACTGGCAAAACCGTGCTGTTGTTCAAGAAGGGTGACCTCCACGCGCTATAGACAACTATCACCCAATCTGCTTACTGTCTGTTATCTATAAACTTTCCACTCTAGTCATTCTAAAGACAGAGCACTGGACGAACAGCAGTTATTTGACCAAGCAGGGTTTCGAAAAGGATTCAGTACAATCGATCACATCCACACAATAACAAAACTCATTGAAGTATCGCGAGAGTGCATGAGACCGCTCTGTATCACTTCCATCCTTTTAGAGGATTGCGAATCAATTCAGATAGAAGCAGTTGCGGAAGCTCTGGACAGTCAAACAGTCTGTAGTCAGTACATAAAGATTCTTTGTGAGCTGTATAAAAAATTCACAACCAAGATATCACCATTCTACAATGATATTAACATCGACGTCAAAAGAGGGGTTAGGCAAGGCGATACCTTCTCGCAAAAATTATTTACGGCTGCCCTCCAAAACGTTACGCGAACACTGGAATGGGATAATATGGGAGTAAAAACCGATGGTCGGCAATTACTCTTCGCTTCGCTGATGACATCATCCCTACAACAACAAACATTAGCCAAGCGGAGCAAATGCTTGCCGGCTCCGATAAACCCTGCAGAGACAATGGTCTTCGACTAAATCTTACAGAAACGAAGTTCATGAGGAACGGATTGGTTTCACATGCCCCATTCACGCTCAACGAAACGAATACCTCCTAATGTTCCAGTTACATCTACCTAGGTCGTGAAATAAATATGATGAACAAGCTGGCTCCAGAACTGAGCAGGAGGAAATGAGCGGCTTGAGTAGCTTTCAAGATCATCGAGGATGCAGTGAAGAGAACAAAGAATCCCCAACTCCGTGCCCACCTTTTTGACTGAACGGTACTTCCTGCCCTAACGTATACGTAAGAAACCTGGTCGCTGCATAAGCAGAATGAAAGATAACTCAACGTTATCGAACGCGCTGTCGAAAGGACGATACTAGGAGTATCTCGTTCCACACAAGTAAGGGATGGGAACCGAAGCTGCGATCTGCGTCAACGATCAAAAATCAAAGATGCAGTTCAATACGTCAAACTGTCGAAGATAAGGTGCACCGGATACGTAACGCGTAAAAACGACAACGGATGGGCAACAGTCGTTGGTAACTGGATTCCACATTATTTGAAACGTGCTGCAGGAAGACCACAGAACCAATGGTCAAACTCTAGAAGAAAGGTATAACGATCAACGACTCCCTCGAGCGACCAGAACCCATCGAGTTACTCTTTCACGTTAGAAGGAAAAATGAAAGCCTTAGTTGCGCCCGTTCGAGTCAATGAACGATCTAAGAAACGACAGGTGATAGGTGATGCAGTATTACCTTCAATGAATTCCGCAAATTATGCATTGGCGCGAATGGAGGAGAAGAATGAAGGCTTCTTAAGATCAAAAAAGGAAAATTTGCGCAGGTTGAAAGGGCGAAGATCCTCATAAGGAATATCGTTTAAGCATTAAACAAAAGCATGGTGCTGGTTCCACCTCTTCCCAACCCCTGGTTCAATCCACGTGGAATTGATCGCCTTTCCTCGGTTGTCTCCAAGAATGCAGGGAAAGCCGAATCGACCAGCATTCTACGATATTCATAAAGATGACAAAGTTATCAAGCAGCACCTGAAACAAAACGTGAACTGTTCTATGACCTTTGTAGGCAATGAACGCGAGAAAAACGAGTGGAAGGCAAGAAGTGCTGGGATTGTGCTATCAATATGGCCCATATTCGCTAAACTTCTTCGTATGACGATTTTTGCCCTTCTTGCAATTTTATGCGTTCTATAACCGCTGGCATTGACCCCTCTATTTCTGCAGCAATTTGCCAGCAATTTCATTCGCAACGATTCTGCTATTGCTCACCAAATTAGAAACTTTCATGACCTCATATTTCTACATATAACGAATAAATTTACAAACTATTTTGAGACCTGCAAACACATGTCAATTAAACTAGTGAACCTATTTATTATGACTCGCCTTCACAGAATGTGTGCATCTCAGCACTTTTTTCACTCAGTTCGTTGTGATCCATAAAGAGTTTAGGCTACGCAAGTAGGTCCTACTATTTGTTTTTAAGCAATATTTCGCTATGCTCCGGCATATACTATTTCGACGGTAGCAGGATGAAGTGCCATAGTGAAGACAAAAACATCTGTGTGTCACTACCTTGGACAACCTCTGAGTGAAGACGTGAGGTCACCTGATTTCAGCGCCAGGAACCGAGTTGTATAAAAGTGCAGTGCTAGATGACGCCACATTATTCGTATGGTCTCCTCTTCTCCCGATTCGACTCGATAGAACGACTACAAGAACTATGATCGCAGGAAACACTACTGCTGTCGGCAGACGACTCGAATCATTGCGGCTCTGAAAAGGGCGATGGCCCTGAAACTTTATTCCCAATAAGGATTTGTAGCAACGTCGTGTATATTCTATATGTATATATGTATATTGTATATGTATATCAATGAACTACAACAAAAGTTTTTAACTGTTAAGAATTTAAATTTCATAGAGTCATAAATTCTAATCTAAGCTTACAGGAAAAGCAGTGGTTAGCAAATCCGTCGAATAACACAAGCATTTCACTGGTTCTACCTAGCATCGGGTCCAACGATCTTCTCATACCTGCGGGGAATCAGATTTGATGTCGAAAAAGGCGCCGCGCGATGTAATTATCGCCAGTGATGGACGTCTAGAAACGTTCTAGTTGAGAAAAATAGGATTCCAAGGAAAAGATGAGTACCAATACACATTAATGAGAAAGGGAAATTCTTAAAACGGCAGTTGAACTTAAAAGAAAATCAAATCGTCCTCATAGCTGACCAATGAGAGACGAAGAATCATCTGCGTCATCTGTTGCCCGCTCATCGTCAAAAAATTCGAGAGGTCGCCAGTAAACCTCCCATTTGATCCTGTCGAGTGAAAGAATATCTCATTGAGCTCTCCTGACTGTAGAGACCAAATTGGCGTATAAAACGGCATCTTTCATTTTTTACCGTGGACATTGATCAAAGGAATCCTATATCAAAGAGACAGGTAAAACGAAGGACCCGGATGGTGTGGTGGTGAAGTGCGCTACTCCCCGAAAAGGACATAGCGCGCGTTCGTTCCCCAGCGCATACACCTGCGGTCCAGAGTTTTGCAAATATCTCAGCATTATATACGAGTTATATTTCGCAACATACCATGCCATTAAAAAGAAAAAGGCACCAAATAAAAGGGTTAAGATTGATCAAAACTTCAGACTCCTCTCCTATTTGAGTGACATGGGATGCTCCTCCCATCGATCTTTCGACTGCGCGTTCAATAAGGTTGAGTGACACTTCATTCTGTTTAGGCAGCGCACAGGTTCATAACACATACGTTAAGGCAGGAAGAGTGGAGTCGAAAAGGTGGGCACGGCGTCGAGTGTTCTTTGTTCTCTTTATTCCATCTTCGATGCTCTTGAAAGCTTCCCAAGCCGCTCGTTTCCTCTTGCCCAACACTGGAGCGAAGTCGTTCATCATGTTGATTTACTAATCTAGACAGACGTTGCTGCAGCATTCAGAGATATCCGTACCGTTTAGTGTGAATGGAACATATGAAACCAATCCATTCCTTAGTAGCATCTTTGTTGCGAGATTTAGCAGGGAACCAACCAAAACCACAAGCATTGTCAAAGTCCGCTTTCATTCGTTTTACGTAGCTAATGCTTGATGTTCTGAGAAACATATCATCAGCAAACCGAGGATGGTGTAGTTGCCGACCACCGATTTTCATTCCTTCGTTTTTCCACTACAAGTTCGCATTATGTTCTGGAGAGTGGCAGTGAATGATTTCTAGGAAGTGCTATCGTTTCGCCTAACCCATCTTTTTAATTTGATGTCAATGTCGTTGTAAAACTATGACATCCTGATTGTGAAATTTTTATATAGCTCACAAAGAATATACACTGAGTAAGGTCGTCTTAGCTTTCTAGATCACCCATGGTTGCTTCTACCCCTAGTCAATGAAAATGAGATAGAGTTGTCTCTTTTACCTACGCGATACTTCAGTGAGCCTTGTTATCATATAGATGTGGTCTGTCATATTGCATCCTTTTCGAAACCCAGTTTGCTTACATGGCTGTCGTTCGAACAGTGTTCTATCACTGCTGTTTAAAATAAATCGAGCCAAAAGTTCGTAGACGACAGACAGTAAGCAGATTGGGCGATGGATACCGATACTAAAGAGGTCACTCTTCTTGAACAATAATACGGTCCTGCTGGTCTTCAATTGCATGAAAACCTTGAAATACGACAGGCGGTGTATGTAAAGCGATGTATGTATGTATGGAAAGCCAAGCCAGTGTGTTGATGAGGAAGCGCAGATGGTTCCTCAGGTGACCAGATCTTATCCTTTGCAGACCACGTGTTATTGGATTCTTCACTGACGGAATAGAATGTCTGATTTCGTAAGGGAAATCGGGTGGAATGGCAAATCCATCTTTAATTTCACATAAGGAGAGGAGGACGTGGTTATTGAAAATTAACCTAGTTTTGTAATTGGACAAGCTCCGGTGGTCTTTGCGAATGGTTTTTCCAGTTTTTGCAGTTTCGACCATAACTGCTGCTCCTCTCTCCAAGATCTTTTCCTATCGCCTGTCTGCATCGTTTTGCAAGTTCGGACGTGAGTTCGTGATTGCCTGTGGCTCGCACAATTCCATGTTGGCTCATCGGCTCAGTCGTATTTTGAGACAGGTCTATTGATGACGTTCAAATTCTCAGCTTTCATAGCGATAACGCGAATATTTTGGTCAAGCCGCTGATGTTCCTCGTGGAACTTATCATTGGCACCAATCCAATAGCCGATTTATGATCTAAGCAAACCTTAGTCTATGATTATTTTGAGAACTTCGTTCTTTGTACTTCGCCGTATTCTTTCCTTTCCGTAAGAAATGGAAAGTTGTACGAAGGAGGGAGTGGTCTGATGCGGCGCAGAATTTAGTGACGACAGCGACATCGGCTAAGCCAAACCTTCGATCACGTGACTTATTTCGTTATGATATTCTCTATTGGAAGACTCCTACGTCAAGCATTGAGAGTGGGGCCTCTGGAATTGCGAGTTACCATGAATGATCTTGGTCGTCATGATAAAATCAGACAGCCACTCAGCCTGCTCGTTCCTTTCTAATCCGTGGGTCCCTATGTTACGTTCTTCAGATTTTCTTCAGACGTTCTTCTGGGTCCAATCTTAGTATTAATTTCTCAAGTGATGACTTTAAAGAATATATGGACTTCTCTGTAAAGCTTCTCCAAGTCCATATAGATCGCTTCGACTTCTTCTCCGTCATAGCTTGGTGTCGGTGCGTTAACGATAAAGATTGTTCAGGCCGGTATTGATCTACAATCTCCTTGGCCGTAGTCATCCGATTTAGCTTGTTAGTTAATCGAATGAATCGATGTTCACGGCCAAACTGAATTGATTTTTATGGCCAAATGTTCCAAGAAAACGAAAGACCGACTTTCTATAAACCTCGGCATAGATAGTTGATATATTTATTTATGTGATCTGTTATATGTTCCAAAAAACAGTTGTTCTCCGGTGCCACAGACGGCATTGAATGAGTGCCATCTTCTCGTCGCAGCCAATCCGATGACGGCGGCGTAGACGGCTAGTCCTTCTTGTCTATATCATCAAGTCCTCTATCGACGGCTCAGATGTAAGTAAGCGTGCATTACAGGTACAGATCGTCACCCTAGCCCTTCAATATTTAAGTAGCCTAGAATGCCACTGAGATTTTAGCAGCCTCTACGAACTTGTTCCACGCAACGCTGCCATAATGGAGGGTTTTCGGGGTCAACGAAATGAGGCCCACTTATTTTACTGTGCTTAGCGTTTGATGTCCACAACGAATAAATAAAGAGAATGAATAGAATGAAAAGAAAGTGCTGGTATTTGCACAATATGTGATATCGGGTCATGCAAAAAAACAAAATCACATCGATCTTGCGGTTGAAGACGAATCGCAAAATAAAATAGCTTTGTGTTCCCATTCAACACGTATCTAGTTGTAAAAAGTGCGAAAATGATTGATATCAACGCGCTTTTAGTGAATCAACGTTCGATTATTCGTTTTTGTTCGAATGATGCTGCATGATGATACGTATTTGAGACTTCAAGCGAGCCAAGATTTGATAAAAGGATAGAGGATAATGCTCTCGGAGTTGACCAATCCCTGAGAGATGCGCCATGCATGCGACTGCATTGATCATCATTGGAGTGACTGAATGCATATCTGGCCTTTACAATGACTGGCGGTGGTCAAGCGATGTACTAAGCCAGTGCTGCTATCCTTCCAGACAAGTCTGGTACCAATTTGCAGACTCCGGAGGGATAGAAGGCCTGGTGGGCCATGGGTGCGGGGATCGATTTCACGTGTATGTTGCGGAGCGCCTCCGACAGTATAGCCAAACGCGCCTCTCAAGACTTGGTAGCCCTCTTCTATCAACACTAATATTTCCGTCACTGAGGCAAGAAAACTCTGACCATGCTCTATGAGAATTTAAAGTATGAAAAGCATTCCTATGCACAAACTTGGTTAGCAATAATTACTTACATATTCATGTAATTTTTCATAAAATACTTCCAAAATGTTATAAAAATCCTAGCATTAATATTACTTGAATGTTCCAGAAAAATCGTTCAAAATCCAAAAAAAATTGTGGTGCTAAAGTGATTACGACCTCGATCAGATCGAGCATTATTCCATTTGAATAACCTTTCGTGACATATTGTCGCCTGAGCTTTAAAATAACGGCAGAGATACGTTCACCGGTGCTCTCGAGGAGTTCGTTCACTCACTCTACAGAAGGAACACCCGATAGTCCGTTTTTTCAACTATTGCAGTAACAGATTGGACAGCCTGCACTCTACCTCACAGATAGTAAACGAATGTCGAGATTCGGAAACTCGCAAAGATGAATGACATGCTTTCTTTCCGCTCGATCCTAGGCACATGGTGATATTCAATAATACCTTCACACACAGTTGTTTTCTTAGGCAAATTTTGTGTTATCTGCCAGTTTTCGCTGCATTTTTATACGAACATGATCAGTAGCAAATCAAATAACAGGTACCCAATAGAAGAATTGAAGTGGTAGTTACTCCATAGTACAACAATGGTCCATCTCACTGTTATCGGAAGCGCACTACGAAAATACAGCTTTTCCATCGACCTCTTACCACACCAATAGGAAACGGGCTTCGACAAGGCGACTTAATATCGCCAGAGCTGTTTACAGCCATAGTGCAGTGGATAAAGAAGTCACTCGATTGAGATGAGAAAGGCAAACGTATTGATGGAAAATTTCTTTGTTTCGCTGACGACAACGTCATCTTTTCAAGAAGTACGAGTGATGGAGAGTCGATGATTCCGGATCCGATCCGAAAATCCGCGCTCACCTTTTCAATTCAACGGTTCTCCCAGCGCTATGTTATGATGCAAAGACGTGTCATAATACTTGAACCACCTCAAGAATACTGTGCACTGTTCACAGAGTGCTTGAACGATATCTTCTGAAATATAACCGGGACACTCAATATCTAGCCGGAATGCGAAGCCCAGACCTTCCAAATCTGTCCTATCTTCGAGACTGGAAAACACATATTGATAGTGAAACAAAGATTCGCAAGTCATATAATGATAAGAATCATGGAGGATGCAGGCATCCC